GCCCACCAGCAGCCCCCCTGCAACGAGATGCTCAGCACCGCTGCCAGGTCCCACCTGCAGCATCCCCACCCCACCGCCGGGTCTGCCCCCCCTTACCTCGGTCCTGCACCCTGTGGAAGTCGTGCGCAAAGGGCAGGCGGTCCTGCAGAGAGAGGGGAGCGAGGGCAGGCAGGGAGCGGCACCGCACCCAGCGGGGAAACCCATCCCTGGGGGCTGCCAGGAGGAGCTGGGGCTCCATGCCCCTCCTCGCCAGGAGCTGGCATCGAGCATCACTGCATCCCAAGGGATTCAGGAATTGACCTCGCAGCCCCAGGCCATGGAGCTGGGAGCCGGCACTGAGCATTGCTGCATCCCGAGGGATGCAGGAACCAACCACGCAGCCCTGGGCCATGGAGCTGGGAGCCGGCACTGAGCATCGCTGCATCCCAAGGGATGCAGGAACCAACTGGGCTGCAGACCTGGGAGCAGACATGGAGCATCACTGCATCCCAAGGGATGCAGGAACAAACTGGGCTGCAGAGCTGGGAGCAGACATGGAGCATTGCTGCATCCCAAGGGATGCAGGAATTGACCTCGCAGCCCCGGGCCATGGAGCTGGAAGCCGGCACTGAGCATCACTGCATCCTGAGGGATGCAAGAACTGACTGCGTAGCCCTGGGCCATGGAGCTGGGATCTGGCACTGAGCATTGGCGAATCCTGAGGGATGCAGGAACCAGCTGGGCTGCAGAGCTGGGAGCAGGCATGGAGCACCGCTGCATCCCGATGCAGGAATTGACGTTGCAGCCCTGGGCCATGGAGCCGGGAGCTGGCACTGAGCATCGCTGCATCCCGAGGGATGTAGGAACTGACCAGGCTGTGGAGCTGGGAGCAGGCATGGAGCATCGCTGCATCCCAAGGGATGCAGGAATTGACCTCACAGCCCCAGGCCATGGAGCTGGGAGCAGGCATGGAGCATCGCTGCATCCCAAGGGATGCAGGAATTGACCTCGCAGCCCCGGGCCATGGAGCTGGGAGCCAGCACCGAGCATCGCTGCATCCTGAGGGATGCAAGAACTGACTGTGTAGCCCTGGGCCATGGAGCTGGGAGCTGGCACTGAGCATCGCTGCATCCCGAGGGATGCAGGAGCCAACTGGGCTGCAGAGCTGGGAGCAGACATGGAGCATCGCTGCATCCCGATGCAGGAATTGACCTCACAGCCCCGGGCCATGGAGCTGGGAGCTAGCACTGACCATCGCTGCATCCCAAGCGATGCAGGAACCAAACAGTCTGCGGAGCTGGGAGCAGGCATGGAGCATTGCTTAATCCCAAGGGATGCAGGAACCAACTGCACAGCCCTGGGCTGTGGAGCTGGGAGCCGGCACCGAGCATCGCTGCATCCTGAGGGATGCAGGAACTGACCGGGCTGTGGAGCTGGGAGCTGGCACTGAGCATCGCTGCATCCCGAGGGATGCAGGAACCAACTGGGCTGCAGAGCTGGGAGCAGACATGGAGCATTGCTGCATCCCAAGGGATGCAGGAATTGACCTCGCAGCCCCGGGCCATGGAGCTGGGAGCCGGCACGGGGCATC